CCCAGCTCCCCCCTCCTCTCAGGCAGTTGTAGGGAGCGATGAGGGCTCCCCTCAGCCTCCTCTTCTCCAGGCTGAACATCCCCAGCTCCCCCAGCCGCTCCCCAGCAGCCTTGGGCTCCAGACCCCTCCCCAGCTCCGCTGCCCTTCTCTGGACACGCTCCAGCCCCCCCAGGTCCTTCTGGGAATGAGGGGCCCAAAATTGACCCCAGCATTCGAGGGGAGGCCTCAGGAGCGACGTAGCCACAGTCAGAGTTGCCTTCGGGATGCTTTCTCCAGGTCCCTCCCAACCCCCCGCCTCCATAAGGTCGCCCATCGCATCCACCCGTGCCCTCCGCAGAGGATGCACGCCTCGCTGCTGCTGCAAACATCCCTCCGTCTCATCGGGCCAACAAAAACACCGGCCGTACCCTGTAATCGGACAAATCTCCCACTCGAGGAGGAGCGGAGAGGCTGCACGGATCCGGACGCCCTGATGACACCGGTGCTAGCACTGCTTCGTGCACGGAGAGGGCAGACAGGGTGCAGTGACAAATACTCCACAACCCTATTTCTTTACATCGTGAGAATGAGAATGTGTCTTCAGACACTTCCTGAGAGGGTAGGATCTATTTTTCAGCGTTGTAGGCTTTTTGCTATCGCCGACACCCCTTCCCACCCCACGTGGCAATATTCGTATTCTGACGCCGTTTTGTGACTTCTGTGAACGAGAGCAATGGGCAGCAGGGCAGACCAAGCACCGTGGGATAATCACACCGATTTTTTAAGCAAACGCGCTCTTCGATTCAGAGCGAGCGCAGATTTCCTGTGCCTTAAAACCTTTATTTTCCCTTATAAGGAAATCCGCAATTGCAGATTGTCAATAAAGAGATGCAAGTCCCCCCGCACGGGGCCGACAGGTCCTTGCAGGACCCAACTCTCAGACACAGGCTCACTTCCAATCGCTCCCTATCTCTGCCCAACCGCCGTTTGACCAGCGAAACGCCGACAAAGCTCCGTTATCCGTCGTTTCTCAGCGCAAGGGTTTCCGAGTTGATGTCATTCTCCTAAAAGCCTTATTCAGCCAAGGCACAGTGCAGGAGAGAAAGAACCTAAGGACAACAATGCTTCCTCTTTGTGCCATAGCTAAAATAAAATTATCTTGGCTCACCCAACGCCCAGAGGGACAGGGGCGAATATGAAGCACACACGACAGTGGGAGAAAGCATCGTATGGGCGCTTCTGCGCCCTGTCTGGTCATGGAAAGGGTACAGGAGCACTGGGTGTTTGACTGATTTACACACGGGACAGGCTTAAAAAGCAAATCCCTCTCTCACAGACCAGCTTCACTGCACCGGGCTGCTCATAGACATGAATCAATCCCCAATTTTTTTTGTCCTGCCTCGGTACCACCACGGCTCGCCAAACGCGCCCCGAGCGCATCCCATCTCTTGCTCGGCTATGACAAGGCAGGTATTTTTCCGAAAAGCCCCATGACCGCCGTGTTCCCCCCTCACCCCCCCCACCCTCGGCACGCTCCGCACCCGCGCTGAGCCCGCGGCGGCGCCGGGGTCCGCAGCCTGCCCACGGCAGAGCCGTCACGCCTCACCTTTCCTGGCAGCGCTGGGCGGTGGCGTCGCTGCCTTCCCCTCCGCTGGCTTCGCCTTTTCGAAGGTTTTCTTTGCGTCGGCAACTTTAAGCACTTTCTCATCCTCCTGACTCTTCCTCCCCTTCCGCTCCGGCTCCTCCGAGCCCCCTCCTCCCGCAGTCCTGCCCCCAGCTCGCTGCTCCGTGCCTGCGGCTGCCCACGGCTCCTTGGCAGGCTTCGCCGCGTCGCCGCGGGGCTCCAGCAGCGCCTCCGTCATCGCCACGGTCTTGCTCATACTCAGAGCCAGGCTCTCCTTGCTGTGGGACCTGACAGGAGGGGCCGGTGGGGCTCTTTTCTGGCCGTACGAATCGAGCATCCCTGCATCTGCTTCACCTCCGAGCTGCTCCCGGCTCCCAAGGAGCTGGCTGCTGCTCTGTCTCGAAAGCTTTTCCGTGTCTCTCGTCACCGAGGTGGGATTTGCAACCGCGGAGACCATTCTCTCCAGGCTCTTCGCTACCTGCTTGCCTGGCTCGGGCTTCCTGGCCGGATCCTCCTCGCCGTTCTGGCAGAGGTCCGGAGCGCCGTCGGGCTGGGGGGCGAAGCTGATCGCCTGCCCGAAGCTTTCAGCTGCCTTGCTGCTCTCTCTGGGGACGTAGGGAACAGATGTTGTTGCCTCCTGTTTGCTTTGCAAAATGTAGTCCATGAGCAGGGCGTTGCGCTCAAAGCTGTCTGACCTGATGGGGACGCTGGGCTTGTTGCCCTCCGAGGGAGAGTTTAGGGTCAGTTTGTTCACTTGCCTGCTCTCTGCGCCGCTTTCCGAGTCCGAACGGCTTAGCTGCCTCCTCAGGACTCCTTGGAAAGTGTTCAGCCTGTTCGGGCTGGGACTGGCCACCTTCCCGTCCCCCGGGTAGCCCTCCTGAGCCGCAGGTACCTTGTGCTCTGCCGCTTCCCATTCCTCCTCAGGTTCCGCTTCTGCCTCTCGGATCAGGCGCCTGTACTCGCTCTTCTCCCGCCTGTACATCACCT